AGAAACCGGAGAAATGAAGGGCTTGATTTAGCTCATGAGTAGGATCAAAGAAGCAACGACGACATACTCATTTCAGGGCATCTCCAACCATTACAATATACCAGTCCTCTCGCATTACTCAAGGGAATATTTTCTGCGCTGCCGGAGTCCTGAGTCTTTTTTGTGACATAGAATGAGCGTTATCATCAATAGCACGTTTGAAATAAAAGTTCTACAACACATGAAATGGTTGTGGGCAAAGTAGTGATAGTGATTTCATTCATTACGCTGACGCCCCAACTTACCCACCTACTGGCTCAATCCTGCTTCGGGTCAAGCAGCCCTATCATCTTTCTGGTGCCCGCAAATTGGTACCATGCTTGTTTTGCGACTCACTGTAGTCCGTATGAGAACGCCCTAGCACGACTATCCCGGGATCGCAGGGGGAATAGACTAAACCAGCATTCTGCGACATTCGTAAAAAACATAAACTCCTCAAGCGGCAATCGGAAGCACAGCAAAGAAGTTTGAAGACTTTTGTAGCAGGTGGATGTGAGGAAACGAATGGAATGCAGGAAGTGCTGGGATCCTCACAATATGATACATGCGACTACGGCTGGCGCTATAAAAGGAACAGTGGAAAAGTTATGCTATGGAAGCCCATGGAACGCAGTTACTGAGAAAAAAGCGCTTCATCGAATTTTGGACAACATTATTTCATATTTTCCAGTGAGAGAATAAGGCGATGTGTTCCGAACAATTCATGTTTAGAAGTATTCAAATTTAATCATTAAAAAGCCTTGCCTAGTTAAGGTCGAGTTCTTTCCAGCCTTATCGAAGCCACAGTTCACAGCTCTATGAACAACTGTGGTTCGCTCTCCTCAGTAAACCAGAATTTTAAGTTTCCGAGCTTTTTTTAACCATCTACTGTGCAACTGCTAGTTTCAATGCCGTGAAAAACTCGTTTGAACTACAACAGCGGCGATCGTTTCTGTCCGTAGACCAAAGTTGAAGGTCAGCAATGAACCACACAGCTCAATCAGTAGCCATTCAGTCAGTCAGCTCGGTAATGACGTTTTGAATGGGAGCGAACAGAATCGGTGAAAAATTGCAGTGAAAGTGAACAATTGTTCACCTATGTCACTTTTACTTCTCGTAAAGACTTGTTTCATGTTTGTTTCAATATGTTTCAATATGACTTGCACTTAGGTCCATCTACGTAAGTGCTAGCTAAGCTATTTGTTACCCTAGATCACAAAGTCGTTTAGCTCTTTTGAATCACATTGCTTTTTCTCTCTGAGCACCCACTACCCCTATAAATCAAAAAGTTTCTGCCGCATTGATGCTGCTACCTGCTATATAACTACTCAGACGATAGCACGGCTTTCTGGCAACAAAATATTCATGTTGAAATGCTGCCTTCAATCACACGGTTATGTCGTTGGTGAGATTATCCAGTTAGAAGAAAAACGACACGTCGAAATTTCGGAAGACTGATCACAAAGTGGTAAAATTCATTTTGGTCCGCAAAGTTCAGCGCCTGTTGGTGAAGATTTGAGGCTATCCTAATACTGCAATCTCTGGACTCGGAAGAAGAACAAGGTAGTAGTCAGAGGCTAGAGCGTGAGAGCAAGATGCTGTGGGTTGCGACAAAATTTTTAATTATGGCTGGCACGCTTGTTATTGAATCTATGCCGACATATGCCTTCTGTATAGGAGTAGACATATTACTACCTGCGATTGTGCGGGAAGTTGAAAGCAGCAGTAGAAAAACACTACCTGCACTGCTAAGTTTCCTACGGACCGCGCTTGGATATATGGGTATTGTTTCCTGAATATGAATTCTTCTAGACGCTATAAGTTAAAATGCTGGGAACTACATGGGAGGCGACTCGCTACAGCGCCAAGTAAACCACACTTTGACTTTTACACAATGTGACAAGGTATTAGTGAGTGAGATACCTTCCGTCAAAGATTTTTGAAATAGCCCTACTTCTCTATACCGCGATGAGGTTGTGGCCGACGAACACTTGCCATTTAGTGAACAAAGAACCCTGATAGACAGGGTGGTATACTATCCCTGCCATTACAGGAAACATTCCGGTATTGTATTGCCACCTCATACCACCTACGCAGATGGTACGTTCCTGAGGGCTAAGCTACCATGTGAAGCAGGTCTTCAACCTTATATGAAGGTCTTTCAGACTAAGAAGTAGAGATGATGTTAATCTACCGGTCTAAAGATCTAAGGAATACTATTGGAAGTTATTTTTATCGCGGATTTTTTTATAACTTCAATGATGCTGGGGTATTTGCAAAACTCCGGAGCCCAGGTGTCTGCGGTGGAGAACGAACGTGCTATTGTCCTTTCCGGGGAGTAACGCGTTCACCACCACACCATGCGGGTTCTTCGTTCCGCCTGCCTCTCAGCTTGTTCTATCGATCTCTGCCATCATCAATCACCCGTCAGCGAGACATTTTTTTTATCACCGTGCTCCGATGGTTTCTGTTTAACTGTGAGGTACATCGGAGTTTCATATTAGCAAAAAATTTTCTTTTAACCTGAGCAGTTCGATAGACCTATATGGAAGCCCAGACAAAAGGAAACCATTGCCAAGACTCGTTTCTGTTATGGCAGTGATCTACGGCAAATCAACCTATTAATGTCAAGAAGGGAACGACCTGTAGTCACGATCTGAAAACGCTCCACTAAGGCTACCTCGACACAAACGAGAACAACATTTGACTCAAGCGGCAATAAACCTGCGGTGGTTTTTGCTTTTATTCGACATAAAGACGGATTGCCCTGCCAACGTTTTACCGCCACGTCGTAGCTGAGAGGTGTTCCTGAGTGCCAGGCTACGATGATTCACCTCCCATCAGGGCTTTTCATGCTGAGAATGACTCCGGCGCTCCTATTAGGAATCCTATTTAGCAGTAAACCAATACCGGGACCCACCACCACCCTAATATCAAACTAATCGCATAGTGGCAAATTTCCCTCTGATTCACAATAGCGGCGAGTGACTGTGGTGGTGACCGCCAGGGGTAGACCTTAGGGAGGCTGACCTCGAGACTGCAGGGAACCCATTGAAAACGGGCCATCCAAGTAGCCAAGCAAAGATGGATCACTCTATCTTCGTCGTAGTGCTCTGTGGTGCTCGGGTCACTGCAGTAGAAAAGTCTTTTTCATTTGCAGTACCTAGCAGCGGGACTGAGTCTCTGACCTCTATGTACTAATGACTAAGTTCTTACTAAGCTGATGGACCGACACGAGTTTCTTATAGAATAGTGTCCCCTTAGTGGTGCGGAGATTCATCAACCAGAAAGGTCTCCTAAAGCCAAGAATAGTTTTACATTACCATCCAGAAGCCAAGTTAGGAGTTAATCAGTGGCAGAAATCACGTTCACAATTTAGTCAATGGTGACGAATTGGAAAAGCTTCTACACGACTTTCGAGACTTCGCAGGTTACCTCGCTGAGGTTAACAAAGGCTTTGTTCAAATTTCGAGGCAAATAAATTTCCACCATCTCGGCAAGGCGTTATAGATCTCACTGGTTCTTACTTGTGTTACTGAAATTCATTATGAATTGAGATGCGACAATATGCATTGATTTAAATGTAGCCCGCAATCCGCAAAGGATTTCCATTCCTTGCTGAAGACACCGAAAACTAGGTAATTTCATGAATGCATTAAATCTGAAAAGTGAAATATTTCCTCATTTTTGTATGTCATATATGACTTATATTTTCGCCCATGTATTGAAGTATTTTTTTTTGTAAAACTATTTAAATCATTTTCAGCAACGTGTGAGCCCCATTTGACTCACATCGTCTTTAACGCGTTAACACTAATACTTCACGCTACGCGTAATTTCGAGCCAAAATGCATTTCGTTTTCAGTTCCTTTAGCTGAGAAAAACACCATATGATGCACAAAGTCAAAAACTCTTATTTAGTCAACTTTCAAATGAATGTTTTGAATCGATCATAAGTTATCGGACCAGGTATCGATTACGACGGCCGTCCATCGTGTTGTTAAAGTGACAATGCCACTAACTACTCATGATGAATGGAAAACGACCGTCTGTTTTACGTTCCAGCAATCTAAGACATACAGCAAGCCATTCCTGAAAGCGGTCCATTTATTTTCAACCAGCTTGAGAATTCCATAATTTCAGGACAGATCCAGAATCCCCACGTATCTTATCAAAGTTCCTTTTCGCATTGTAAATTAGATCCACAAACCATATCAGAAATTTTTCGCAGCTATGATTTTCGGATTTAATACATTTCTAGTGGAGACGTAAGGACGCGTGTGGCGTAGTGGTCGGATGAGCTCTGCAACGCAAATAGAATCGATCGCCGTGCCCCTGGCCTACCAAGCCTTCTATTCTTCCGAGGTCGGCAAATTGTTGCCTGACTTCTCTGAAAGGATAGCGGCTCTGGTTCGATACATCGGTAGACCAGTGTGAGTCATTGTATATGACAGATATGCACACCTCCAACGATGCTTAATGAAGTCGAATGCAAGGCGCATCCCTCACGGATTGATCAACGCCGAGAGCTTTATCCTTCAGCTTTTACTCGGACGTGACCACTTCGTCACCTGGATTTTCTAGCGTTACGGTTATAAAGTGGTGAGTGCTTCATTTTCATTTGACGTCACATGTATTTACAATATCAAAGCCCGTAATTTTTCGTCACGTGTCTTTTGGTGGGTCGACGGAAGTTATTTATCATTTGGACGACTATGAAGGTGAGGCAGATTTGCCGCTTGTTTATCGTTTCCAGTCTCTTGTTGTCTTCTGTGATGTTTTTCCGTTTCATTGCTCTGGATTGATCCTAAAAGTCTATTTTGCATTGTAGATTGTACTTAAAGGAGAGGACCTATGAATGCTACGTTGCGGAGTCTGCGAATGCCGTCGTGTCTGCTTTGTTCGACACCCGTTCTCCGGTTATACAGCCTTCCAAGACCGTCTGGACCAATCCATGGTTTCGTCTGCTCATCCTTTCTTATGTCTATGAGTTTTTCGCTACACAGATATTCTTTCTAAGCTTCTGTCAATCATCAGCATCTTCCAACGTCGTATAGAGGATTTTGCTCTAGTCAACAAGCATTGCCACAAATTCCTTCGAAGGAAACTTTATTTCGAGTAGATTGGCTGTTAGAGAACGTGGTGAGTTGAACAGTCGTCGTTTTTTGACAGTTTTATTGATTTCTTCTTTTTCAGGTTCCGGACGCTCTAAAAACAGGGATAATGCCTTTTATCGAGATATGCTGTGATGACGTATCTTTCGAAGATAAGCTCTACAAGTACAAATTTTCAAAAAAATCCGATCTGCTCATGCATGTTGCGAAGATAAAGTTCTATTTTCGTTATCGATCACCATTTAATAAAGTTGAGGTCAGTGCTCGTAGGCTATTGGGAACTGCTCCTTATCTCTCACTATCCAAAGACATATAGCTCTTTTCTTTTTTTAGAAGATTGGTTCATGTATTTATGAAAACGAAGATGTTGTCGTGTTGCTATGGCGGTTAAGTACCTTAAAATCGAGTATTTGGACATATCTTCCGTCATTCCTCACAAAGCGAGAGGTATCAGTTATCGTTTAGTTGGAAATTTATACTTATTGCTATTTTTAATTGTTGTTCATTTTCACTGTTTGACCTATTTAGCCTAATCTGATTACCATTGAAGGAGCACTGGATATACATGTCAATTGTGAAGGAATGGTTTACAAGATAGTTAATAGGAAGGTATGCATGGTATTTCGTCCGTTTCCAAATATTTATAGTAATTTATTCGTTTTGTTTTAGATGACAGCCTCCGATCGAGAAGGTGCCAAAGCCATGGAGGTTATGAAAATGGAAATAGAAGAAACACGAAAGAAACTGGAAGCGAAAGAAGTTCGTCGATTGGCTGAGAAGCTTTGTGAAGAGGATAAACGTCGCAGGATCCTTTAGATTTTATAAGCGTCTTTGTAGAGGGTGAAAGTTATATTCGATTCCATCCTTTGTTCAAATGTTGTCATAGCTCTTCCATCCTATTCGCCGGAAATTTTCCCTTTCATTTATGATTCTTACATGTGTTTTCATTTTATGAGGGCGAAGCTCTTAAGTGTTATTCATGACCATTGCATTGCTTTATGATGCTTTCTGGTCTCGGCTAGTCCGTTTCACAACTTCCTACTCTCTTCTGTTCTTTGTGAGTTGAGTTATGCGCAACTTAGCCCTGTGAGAGTTTTCGTCTAGATTTCACATGAATTTTGGAGAAAAACTATTCTGCTTTATGAAGGTGGTTGTCGCCATTCTTACTACTACCTTTGTTTGCTAAACTTTTACCTTAAGCTTAACCCAGTTATAGTTGCGAAACTAATGCTGCGGCGTTTCTCACCATATGCATGGCGAGCCACAGCAGATTGTTCGCTCATTCGATGTGGCTTTTCCACCAACATGGATTTTTCTCATGAGAAACCTGCTCCGTTCCAACTGCAGCATGTTCAGCAACGGGTTCTTGAGACGGTTAGCTTTATGAAGGTCACTTTTCCTTTTTTTTGTTTCCACATAATTTTCCAATCTTATTTTAGTTTAGGTCCCCCTTATGTTTAAACAACGGCTTGATTATACCTTTTACCGCAAGGATGTTTTCTGTGACGATCAAATATTTGGTTTGAAGAAGCAGTACGTTATTTCTAAATGTTTCTTCGTTGAGCAATCAAGCTCTCTTTTTTGTTCTTTTCCGAACATTTGCGATTTTTGCATATTTAGCTCTCTAAGTGTCTATTATTGTTGTACGTTGTTTCAAGTTAGGTATTCATACGATGGGATTAAGACCCCAGTTTTGGACCTTTCTTCTTAGAGCCTCTTTCTAAGTGGCCGCCTTAAACTCACATTGACTTTTTTTTATGATTTTGAATTCGATATCTTTATCATGTTTTTTTGGAGTTGGCTTGTCAAATCGTGCAGGGGATGTCGGTCGACTAATTGTAGGATTCGCTGTCGTGGCAGTAGTGGCTGCAATCTTGGTAGAATCTAATTTATATGGCGGCGTCTCTACGAAGTGTCAGCAGCGAGTAACCTATGAATTGGACCTGGCAACGACCCACTACGGCAATGCCATCACTGCTGGAAAATCACTCTTAACCAACATTCAACGTATTATTGAGAAGATGAAGTGACAGGTCGTCAATTCGCAGTGGAACTCAGGTTCAAAGCCGACTATACCTTCGTTGGTTACGGTTGAATAAGAATGAAACGATTACACGAAATGCTAAGATCCATATAACATGTGAAGATACGGGTCATTTAAGTGTTCTTTGTCTGAGGCGCGTTCTAGAATTGAATTCCACGTCATCGTATATCCTCTCAACGGTTTACCGCCTCATCGTGGTTGGGAGGTGTTCCTGAGTGTCGGACTGCGATTTACAGGGGGATTCGTCTTCCTGGCAGGGTCTCCCAAGCTGAGAAGGAGTCCGGCGTTTCCATCAGGAAGCCTAGCTAAGAGTAAACCAATACCAGGTCCACCACCGCCTTGGTATCAAAGTCGCGTAGCGGAAAATCTCCCTCTGTTCCACGAGGGCTGTGGTTGGCTGTCGTGGTGACGACTTTGGCCAGGCTGTCCTCGCGATTCCAGGGAACCACAATGGCTTAGCCAGCAAGTCTCTGAAAAATGGTGATTATGCTGCGACCCGCACAACTACTTATGACGAGCCGTTCAAGTATCAAGTATCAAGTAAGTCGTATATAATGGGATCCAACTTTCTTGTGATATTGTTGTATCTAATGCGAGAATAGGACCATCTTGAAATAAAAAGTGGAACCACCTAAGTAATAGTGGTTTCTTTATCTAGATAGGTATTCCTTTTTTAGCGGACTTGATCAACTTATGCGTCATCTGGGGACGATTAGTGTTTTGGGTCAATTTACGTTGCCACATGTGGAAATGGAAGTATGTGCTTCAATTAATTCGTTTTATTAATTCTTCTCAATTTTTTAAATAGACGATCAGTGTAATCCCGGTGATAGAAGATGGAACAGTTCGATGCCGCTGGCGCGTGAAATATGTCTCATTTCCTCGACTCATCTTGAATCCTCGTCTCTTTCGATTCGATTATCGGATTAAAAACGTAGGTTGTTTTTCATTTGGACGTTCTCAAATGGGCAATTTTATAGAGTGTATGTTTCCGAATTATGTTGTATTTTACTCAAAAAGCAATGTATCATTTCTTCCAAGTTATCTTTTCTTTCATTTTTTGAGGTGAAGTGGGCATTCTTTTGAACTAAACCAGTGGTTTTTGGTGCAAGTCATTGTTAAACTAGTGCTTCACAAAATCGAGGTTTTGTAAACTCTTCGGATTTTGAAAACATTTTTGAGAGCAATAACATCACCTTCATTAACTGTTACACCTTCATTAACTGTTATTTTTATTACGGAATTAACAAGCAGTAAGTATGAGTTAGTTAAGAGTTACTTCATGAGAAGAAACTGAGCTAAATGCATCGTTTATTACGAAACATAATGATAAGTACAACCACAATGAGACTGAGATATTTGCAAAACTCCGGACCGCCGATATCTGCGGTGTGGAACGAACACGCTATTACCATTTCCGGGCCTAATGCGTTCACCACCACACTATTCGGATTTGTGCTCTCCAGACCAATCCTATTGACGGCTGATTGCTGAGCAAATGGAAAACTTACTGAGAGACGGGCGAAACGAAGGACCCGCATGATGTAGTGTTGAATGCGTTATCACTCGGAAAGGGTAGTAGCGCGTTCGTCCTCCACTGCAGACAAATGCGGTCCTGAGTTTTGCAAATATCTCAGCACCATGATGGTAGTAGTTGACTGAATACTCTGCCGTGAAAAATTGTAGTAGGAAACAAAGAAAAAGGATAAGCATCGATGAGTATGATCAATTGGCTGCACTTTTTTCTCTCCGCGCGTTTCTTCGATGTACTTTCTCAGCTTTCGGTTTTGTCAAAAGATTGTGACATTACTATTTTGCTATGATTTTACTGTACCATGACCATTTAAAAGATTAATGAGCAGGAACATAATGTGTTTATGTAATGCCGGCACGTTTAGGCAGTTCATATTGTGTTTGCTTAGGTACCCAATTATGTTTTTGGTTGAATTCTATCATCTTGAATTTTATTCTGACTATATATGGTAATTGCTCGCTCTGATCATTATCTTTTTTATTTCCTGATAATTGGGTGCTATAATAAAACGAATAATTATGATAGTAGTGGTAGTAAAATAGTTCTCGTAGTGGTAATAGTAGTAGTAGTATTAGTGGTAGTAGTAACAGTAATGGTAGTAATTTAGCTCAGTTGGTACGATGGCTACTCCGTATTAACGGTCGATGGGAATGGACATGTTTTTAAAATTACTATTCAAAAGGTGGATTACATAATTGCTGACAAGGTTATGTTGTGTTTTTTACAATATTCACCTGGTTTCGAATGCTTTCTAGACGCGCCGAGACGAAGGAATGTTACTGGATGAGAAAAGTCCCAAGGATGGCTTGGCTAAAAAAATCGCGGCGCTGCGGCCTAACCCGGCTGCTGCGCACTTTGCGCCTCAACGGCGGTCTAATGATGGTTTAGAGGAAAGATGCCAAATAAGATCTAGATGATAACGTAGTACAGAACTTAAGTCTTGATTTTCGCACAAGTAATGGTGCTTTTGTCATATTGGTAACGGTCTATTTTACACTAGGCAGTCTTGCTTCTTTCGAGAATTTGGCTGCTCAACGCTTACTTCTGGTTATTTAAAAAATCGAAACACCTGGTAAAAAGGAGCGTGCTCCTGAAAGATGAGGAAGTCAAACTACTTTGGCAAGAAATTCTATTTCTCACTTTGTGATTCACACTTTCTATGGCTGTTCCTAAGGATGATAAGTGTTTAGTGCACAAGCTTTGTCTAGACCATTTTCCATCTACGGATTTCCCACTTATACGCGGTAAAGGCTGTAGCATGTGCGTTTGACACTGTGCCAGATTAAATGATTGTCTGATTGCCCTACTTTCTTCCTGTACATTTCTGAAGCTTTACATCTAACATTGCTTGTATAGGTTACTATAGCACATCGTGATATTCACAGCAGTTTCATCATCGCCTCCTGTTTTTCTCAAGTTTTGAAGATTAACTTGTCATATATTTCTTCTTCATATGGCTCACTATTTTAAGCGAAAATGTTTACATTGTTCACCTTGTTAGCTCAGATATATGTGTAAGGTAAACTACTGGTCAAGTTATGCCTCGATACTCGTTGATGTTACATATACTTGTTGCTATATTGAATTCAAGGTAGTAATTAGATAAGACGTAAAAATGTATTAGAAGAGTTTCGGCGTCATATAGAATCTTAGACGTGTTCTGCTCCAAAGTTTGAGGGATAGGACAGTTTCTGCACTGCTTAAATGTAGTGGTAGTGATTCACTTTGTCAATATCGTTCTGGATTACTGAGCTCACATGCCGTATTGATGCGAGTCGATGTTCCACGGGTGTTCGTCCTAGCGATATGGGTGTTCATTGTCGTATTGAGTCGAATCCAGTGAACTAGAGCACTGCTCGAATGAAGAACCTTTAGGCGGTGACCTTTTGTATAGGACGGATACTATTTTATTTCCTCCATTCAGTATGATCTACTTTTTCAGCGTTATTACCACCCGGAATAGTCGGTATTTCAATAGCAGACACACAAGATAGCTCCGTTTTAAAAACTGACTTTTATTAAGCCTCGGCAAGAATATTCAGTATTGCTTTAGATTAATGAGCTGACACTAGCCGATGCTTTATGGTAACTTCGTGTCACCTCGGTAATCTACAACGATATTCGTTATTCTTGCTGAGAATTATTGAAAGGTAGGTTTTTAAAATAGTGCATTATGTGCTAGTTAGTAAAATATCGGCTATACACGGCCGTCCATAAAGCAAAGGATATTTAGACGGTGAAACCCCTCTAACATCCATCTTGTATAAAAAGAAACCGGCTAGAGGTTCTTCATTCGAGCATTGGTCGACTTCACTGAATTTGACATGGTGCGATTACTAACACCCACATTGCGAAGACGACCACCTGAAGCCCATCGACCCGAATCAATCCGTTGTGGAGAAAACGAAGATGTCGAAACGATATGTAAGGAAGATTTTTTGTACCAACCTTGTCAAGACTTAGTAATCTAGAGCAATAGTGATTATCCTTGCCGAGGTTTAGTGAAAGTAGGTTCTAAAGACATCTTACGGTGTTTATTGATATACATTTCTTATTAGTAAAATTGAGTTGAAATTTACAATCATTGTATTCTGTTGCTTTTTGTTTGAAATATGTGCATGATTGAAGCGTTTCATTACGATGTACTTTCACTCTTTATTGGTAAAGTCTACCTATTCATACTTTACTTTAGACATTATATTTCCGTTAAGCTGTTCATTAAATGTTGAAGACCAATGCTAATTCGACGTTCTGTGCGTTACGCCCACGCAGCTGCTGCTGCTGCTCGTGGATCAGCTGGCAAGGTAAGCACAGGTAGCGTATTAACTTGCAGTTGTGTGTAGTAGAATATGAGCTCTTCTCTCTATTGTAGTCTGAACAAATTACCAAACTGCCAAGTGGTTTAACTGTTGCTTCTGTTGATCATAATGGTCCCATTAGTCAGTTGGTGAGTTCTTAAACTCCGTTCTTTTATCATTAGCACACTTACCAGATAGCTAGAAACTTTGTTCTTAGAATTTTCGCGAAGTCCATTGCTTACGTGGAGTGGTGTTTAAGCTTTATAATTCTAGTAGTCTCTCTACTGATTTCTATAATCAGTAGATTGTTTTCTAATAATCACTAGTTGTACTAATCGTTTACTAGTTGCCCAGGTTTTTTTTTACAGATTTGTTCCGAAATCGGCAGGTGTATATGATCCTTTGTAGTCATACTTACTTACTTGGATAATTGGTTGGCCCGTTTTCACAGGTTGTGCGCTCTCCAGCACAATTTCCATTTCTAGGAGTTTTGCTAGTTTAGCTATTCTGGTTCCCTGGAGTCCCGAGATCATTTAGGCCAAAGTCTATCACAGGTCGTCACCACCACAGGCAGTTATAGCCCCCTTATGGATCAGAGGGAGATTTGCCACCATGCGACTTTGATAGCAGGACGGTGGTGGATCCTGGTATTAGTTTACTCTTAGCTGGGCTCCTTGATGGAAACGGCGGACTCTTTCTCAACTTGGGAAAACCTACTGTGGGATGAATCCGCTCGCTGTAAATTGTACACCGACAACCAGAAACACTTCCCACCCACGTTGAGGCGGTAGACCATTGGGAGGTTTGTAGTCATAGTAATAAGTAATGTAGAAGGATGCTTTGTTGGCGTTGATTGATGCCGTAAATGATACTGTGATACGTGCTATTAAGGTGCTGCTTTTCCGGGCTGGTTCCCGTTATGAAAATCTCAACCAACATGGACTCGTTCATCACTTGCGTAATTCTGTTGGCAGAGATTCAGCCAACTATCCAGGTCTTAGCCTTATTTGGAGTTCGGCTGTCAGTGGAGGACGTGTGGTAAATTTAAAAAGGGGAAACTGTTTGTAGGTGTCTCTATTACAATGCTTTTTTTAATAGAACGCATTCTCGACGCGGGATATTTATGGTGTGTCGCTTGCTCTGCCACGTGACGAGACATCTGTTGGTATTTCAATTCTCGGTCACATTGCTCAACCTGCTTTCAAACCTTGGGACTTTGAAGATGTGAGTGAAGACCGGTTGCATTTCATTTTGAATTGTTGTTTGTCTAGAGGCGTACCAACCTTTACTTGCAGGTTCTTCCTACTCTTAAAGTGGACAACGCCTATAAAGCAGCATATGATGTAGCTTTCGAAGATTTACACCGCGCCGCCTATCGTAATGGACCTCTTGCGCGGTCTGTGTACGCTCCCAAAGTGGCCATTGGAAAACTTAGCTACAAAACACTAGCCGAGTTCTCTGTACGTTGTTGTGCTTTTGTAAACAGAAGAGAATTATTTAGAGCGTAACCGTGTTTTGTACTAGCGAGAAATTTGTTGTTTTTCTTGAAGGCCAAGTACCTGACCACCGGTCAAGCAGTTTTATATGGAACAAATATCGAACATGAGCGTGTGGTATTGTACGGGGAGAACCATGCTCCAATAAATAGTGGCCAGAAAATCGATGCAGCTCCCTCTCCGTACAAGGTATTGTGTTTTTCGTCATTCATTTCATCATTAAAATGTTCTTTTCATTCTGATCTAGTCATTTCCAATTTGTGGTTGGGTCAAGCTGTTCTTATAAGTTCGGCTCTAGTATTCCTTAAAAAAGCTGTTTGTGTCAATTTGTTTTAAAAATGAAGCTATCTGAATGTAACTATTGCGCTACCATCAAAGAATGTTCTGCAAAGGGTGGGGAATGGCGTCGTCCTGCTGGAGGATCACTGGCGCACGTTCTACTCGCAGGTGAAGGAGCAGCGTTGAGCGATGCAAAAGCGATGGCTACACAGGCGGTGTTGCTTACATCTCTAGGAAAGTCGGCAAGTGTGCAGTAAGTCGGAATTACGACTTGGTTGTTTTTCATTGTACTGCTTCCTCGTTATGGAAAGTTCAGGTTTTCTGGATCCCCAGGAAATGCTTCTGTTCTTCGTGCACTTTCTGGGAATGGCGCTGCTTCAGCCTTCCAAGCCGCCTACCATGACACTGGCCTCGCTGGTGTTTACATAATAGCTGACAGCACCCATGTTTCCAAGGCTGTCTCACTGGCCGTTTGCGCTATCAGGGATTACAAATGCAACGATCTTGAAGGTATATTGGCTCTCTGTGTCTTTGAAATTGTAAGCATTACTCTTGCAGCTGCCAAGCGTCGTGCAACTAACGAACTTCTGCGACTCGCGGACCACAACAGTTCGGCGTCAATCGATCGTGCCACTCAAATTCTTGCTGGTCTCACTGTAGAAGATGAAGTGATTGAGAATATTCAACAGGTTCGTTATGGTGGAAATTTTTCCAGTGCGTAAGAGGTACTATTTCTATATCAACAAGAGTCTATTGGCAAGTCGTAACGTTATTATTATATATTGATGTGTGTTGTACATTAGCAATTATGTATAGCGACCGTACTGTTGTTGGATATTTACTTGAATGCTTGGGCAGTCTGTCCTGATACCAGGGCGGTGGCGGATCCTGGTATTGGTTCACATTTAGCTAAGCTTCCTGATGGAAACGCCGGACTTTTTAGCTTGGGAGACCCTGCCGGAGGGACGAATCTCCTCGCTGTACATCGCAGTCCGGCACCCAGGAACACCTCCCATCCACGATGAGGCGGTAAACCGTTGGGAGGCTTAGCTAGGCTTCCTAATGGAAGCGCCGGGCTCCTTCTCAGCTTGAGAGACCCTACTGGAGGGATGAATCCCCCGCTATGCTTCGTAGCTCGACAACCAGGAACACCTCCAAGTAACGATGAGGTGATAAACCGTCGGGAGGGTTTTATTTTTATTAGTTCAAATCTGTTTCTTTCCTTTTTTCTGTTTGTAGATTTATGAAAATCAGCATGCAATTTTTATCGTAAACGTGTGAATTCGACCACTTATTTTAGGTCACTGTAAATGATGTGAACGCAGCAGCGAAGAAACTTTCGAGCAAATTCTCGCTTTCCTGTTATGGAAATGTCGATGAAGTTCCATATCTCGACTCTTTGTGAACATCTGTTCCTGAGTTGTTGATTGGTCTCCGTAGTTCGGGAAATGTGTTCATTTCATTGACCGTCATTGCCAGTGCTAGTTAGAGTTGTCTTTACGATGTCTTCGTGCTACCCAGAATAAATATTGTGCGCGCTTTCTGTTAGATTTTTGACAATTATTAAGTATTTCTAAAGAAGTATCGTGTAATACTATACTACCCTTGCATTCCTCGATTAACTTGCTTCCTAGTATTGACTTTAGTGGTCTGTTATGAGTCAGCGCATCGGAGATGAACAGGTGAAGACCATTGATACTCCTGCTGACGGAAATCTAACCTCTGAAGAGAAGTCACAAGTGCAAGGTTTTGAGGTCTCGAGCCTTGATTTTTTCTCCCAGATGCATTTACATTTGTTCGTTGTCTCTAGGACTTTACATACAATGAAGATGTTATGAATTTCGAGTTACCACCTTTACCAGATCCGCTACCGAAGTGTAAATCTGCGCTCGAGAAGTTCGTGGTTCCCAAAGAAGTGAGGACTGCTATTTCGTGTCTGTCATTTTGTTTCGTTTTTTTTACAATCACACTTCAGTCCGACTTGGTTCGGAGATCTTTCATCCCACTACGTACTCACCCGGATCATTTTGTCGATATCTACTTCGAGAATGTGGTGGAGACAGGGAAATCGCGATTGCCTTGGAATCTTGTGCGTCCAGCATTCTTATGGAAAGTTAAGGTGAGTTCTAAGTACGCAGTTAGTGATGCATTCGGATGAAACAGTTCTATAAAATTTATGAAGCCCTTGTTCGATTTCTAGAACTCACAACTCTATAATATTTATGAAGGCCTTGTTCGTTTTCCAAAAATCAGTCTTTGCACTTCTTGTCTTTATCCGTGCTTTAAATAACAACATCTTTTAACTATTATTTAAGTCCTGTATGGACGAAATGGTGCGGTGGCATCGGCAGCGAGAAGGTCCTGATTCTTTAGATCTAAGTGATGGGTCAGAGAACAAAAGATTGTATGATCTCATTCTTGAAAAGGCGGCAAAATTCGAAGCAGCACCCTTTACATGGCAAAGGTTAGCAACGATACCTAATGTGAATCGTTAACCAGTTATAAGGTTTGATTTAGAATTTGTGAACTGCTAAATTCACCATCGCGTCACTATCGAAAGGCTGACAAGTACTTCCGTGCGCTGGACAAAACAATCAACGTTGTCACGACGGTTTCAGAAGATGGCCGGCGAATGACTGGAAATCCTCCATATGTTTCTGATACACCTGAAGCGTACAGTATTGAGCAGTTATTCTTTGTGGTCGGTCGTCACATTACCCTCAATTGCTCTTTCTTTTGCATTGGAGAGCAGTATCCATCTCTCAGGAGCGCGTGTGGCGCAGTGGTTGGAAACGCCACTGCGACACACACGTGGAATTGTTCCCCGCGACCATTGCCCACCAAGCCTTCCATCCTTCTGGGTCGGCAGGTTGGTACCAGACTTATCTGTGAAGGTAGTAGCACTGGCTCGGTTCATCGGTAGAGTCATTGTAAAGGCCAGATATGCATTCAGTCACCTCCAACGATACTTCATGGAGTCGAATGCATGGTGCATCCCTCAGGGATTGATCAACGCCGAGAGCTTTATTCTTTATCCTTTATCTATCTCTCAATGCAATGTTATCTCTTTCTCCTGGAATTGTTTGGTTTGTTGTGAGCGTAGTTCTTTTAAGGGTGAGCGTGCTGAGAGCGATTTCTGGGATCCAGATTTTGCTTACAATGCGGTACGTCGCTTCATCAACTCGTGAAAATGCATGGCTAATATTATAACCGAGGTGATGCTGAGACATTTGCAAAACTCCGGATCGTAGGTGTCTGCGGTGGGGAACAAATGCGCGACTACCGTTTCTGTGGGCCAGCGCCTTCGTTTTCCGCCACAGACACCTGCGGTCCGGAGTTTTGCAAATATCTCAACATCATTGTGGTAGTATCGCACATAATACCCCGCCATGAAAAACTATAATAGGCTTGTATTATATTTCTTTAAATTGTGGGCAGTTTATTAGATAAAGACACCGCAGAGCGCATTGTGGTTTTTTTTCAGCAGAAAGTCAGTGATAGCCCATGTAATAAGGATCAACTGGAACCTCTCGATATGAGTAGAAAAAGGGCATGTTGCTCCGATGAAGAATCCACAAAAAATGAAGGATCGGATGATGAGATGGAGTTCTAAATCATAAGCATGTTTGCTGCTTTCTTTTTTTTCTTACTCGTCTCACGCTCTCGTACTGCAACCGAAAACGGTTGTTTAAATTCTAAGTGGTATTTTTCTTAACCCTTTTGTACGCTGTTATTTCAGCTCTTTTTTCCAACACTTAAATTTTTTTTTGATTGTAACAAGAACTAACTTATTTGCTTTCTTCATATCTAATCATGTTGTTTTATGTTGTTTATTTGATTGCTAACCGTTTATCTAAATACTAGCTATATACTGAATAGTTGAAGCTTTTTTTCAATGCTTTCAATTATGTGCATTTGTCACACACTTCCAGAAACATGTTTCAAATTTGGCAAGTTTTATCTCATATGGTGAAATTGTCATGCGCACCAATTGAATCTTTTCTGAGTTTTAACCTACTCGCGAGAATGCACGTTGATTTCAAGATATTTGCTTGTGGACATTGGCGCAGTTCTTGTTGAGTTCGATGCGCACTGTTTCCGCTTATTTCTTTTACTGCGAAGAGCTTTTTTAACAAACTGTTTTAACTATTCCATAGCTTAGTTAAAGCTAATTTCGTTCCTGGGTCCGACCACGACAAGCTATTTTGTTTATTTGAATCCCACAGCTGGTGCTAGTATGTCTGTTGTACCTACATGCTATAAAGATTTGGAGAAAGTGTGTTACCACGATAAAGTGCAAACCACAGAGACTTCCATAAATTTTTTGGTAATATATACGAGGCATGTGCCTAAACATAGTATGCGTATATAAGTGTGATCTACATCTTTTGAAAGAGTTAATAGTTCTCCCATGATCCTAAGATGCGGTTGTCCATTCCCGTCATCATCGCGAGCATAGTTTGATCTCTTATGCTGCGATTCACTCTCACAAGAATCTCGATGTGCATGGAGCATGGATGGTTCCAACTATCTTCCGCTCCATCGCTAACATCTCCATTGTCACTCTGTAGGAGGAGTTGATCGAACAAGGTTTTAAATTCTTCAATCATGCCTCAACCAATGAGAAAAGAGCGTGTGTGGCGCAGTGGTCGGAGGCGTCCTGCAACACACTTGGGATCGATCCCCACGCCCATGGGCCACCAAGCCTTCTATCCCTCCGGCGCAAGCAAATTGGTACCAGACTTGTTTGGGAGGGTAGCAGCACTGGCTCGATACATCGGTAGGCGACCGCGAGTCATTTTAAAGACCAGATATGCATTCAATCGTTTCCAAACGGTGCTTAATGAAGTCGATTGCATGGTGCATCCCTCTGGGATTGATCAACGCCGAGAGCTTTAGCTTTTTCATGTTTAACTTTCTGCACACCGTTGGTTCAAAATCGTTGACAACTTCAATGTATCTGAATATTGCTACCGTCGACCGCAATCTCGTATGCAATCATTTGTGCCATCTCACATTTACCCGACTACATCGGATTTTGTGTGATTGGAGTTTAAAACCATGCCTCGTTTCTTCGCTTCGTACAATATGCATTGAAGTATTCGTCTATGGGTAGATTTTTTTCTGTAAAAATTGTATTGACTGCAGAGAGCAGCTGTTCATGGAAGACGTCTGGCGCAGCATTTGGGTTGGGTGAACAAGCGATTTATAGCATAAAACAGAAATTGTAACAAATAAATTCTTTGTGGCAAAATGAACACTCAAATGGAATGCTCGTTGCAGAGTCGAGGAGATTGTCATTACACTGTTTACAATAGCAGATGTTTCTTCGGTTTCGCTTCCTCCAGAGCTTGGAAAGCTCACATTGATATGTAATGTCAGATATTTCCAGATTTTCATTCTTTTCAAATTTTTTCTGATCGGCTCAGTTAGACATTTTCGTCACCTACGAAGAAAAAAGATTTCGCATGCATTAGGAGACTTGAACGTTCAATATTGGTAATAAAACACCTGGAATTGCAAATTGATGATTTTAGGATGGATAATCTATTTCTTAAGGAACCTGTGCATTTATCTGAGCACGTGGAAGTATTATGTGTTCACAGCTTGGCTGCTATCTAGTGGGAACCAAATAGACATGACAGAGCACAAAATGAAGCCAAAAACGCCAGCGCTACCTTTTTTGACAGTGCACTTCATTTATTACAGTTTACTTAGATACTTCATAGATGGATTCTCCACTCTAATGATTACCGGTGGTGTAATCTGAGCTATTAGTGTGGAGAGCTGAAACATCTCTCTGACTGGATGAGTAATCTCGAATGGCTACTATTGTAGTGTCACGAGCATTTTAAGGAACCTTTATACTTTGCTTAATTCTGTCAGGTTGGCAGATATAAAAAATTCTACTCTATAAAAAACATGTTCTGTGGCTGACTACGAAGAGCATGTTTGTTGTTCCTCCTTATGTCCATAAAAATATCTCAAAACTCTTTCCTCTTCTTTGTTGTTGTGTCCTTAGTGCTATTAACTTCATCAACTTTATGAATGTTGAAAAACGTGCAGAGCACGTAGAGCAGAGAACGTTTGTGAGCAGTGCAGAAAAAAAGGGCTTTCAAATTTTACTCAATGACTATAAAAAAAGTGCGGAGACACTTATGAAAAATAACCCGACTACATTTGTCGAAATCTACAGCAAAATATGAAGAGAATCATCTACATATGTCAGGCATTTGATCGATTAGATTCCATGTTGTTGTTCGAATTTCACGTCTCATGTAGATGATTCTCGTGGAAGGTTTTTATTCGAGACGCATTCTGCAACAATATTAATTGTGGAGTTCAATAATGTCACACGCGTTCCGATTCAGTGTTTCAAACCTGTTTCCTGCCCCTACACCATCGATCTGCTTGGACTGGTTAACTAGTTAGGCTGTAAACGGCACTTGGCACTACATTTATTGTCTACTGCTTTCTAGACGTTCAGAACAACGGGATTAACCTTAAATTTAGCCTGAGTATGGCGAGACTTATTTGGCTGAGAGTTTTACTAAAACAATTTCATTAGCTCCACGATCTTTCTTTTGTTGTGTGTCGTGCCATACCAAGTAGTACAGCATGCGTATTGATCGCATTGCAAAACAATGAGAAAAATGAAGATGTCCCACCCAAAGAACACCTTATCACCAAACAGAGTATTTTTTAAATCACCTAGAATAGCTCGAGTAACTATTCGACAACTTTTCCCAGGTATACTGTAACTAACTTAGATACGTGGATAGCCCGTCCGCATTAGTTGTGTGGGCTCCAGCATAATCTCCATTTTTTTCGGAGTTCTGCTGCTTTAGCCATTGTGGTTCCTTGGATCCCTGAGGTCAGTACGGCCAAATTTTGCTCCAGATCGTCATCACCACAGGTAGTCATCGTCCTTGTGGATCAGACGGAGATTTGCCACCATGCGACTTTGATACCAGGACGGTGGTAGATCCTGGTATTGGTTCACTCTTAGCTAGGCTTCCTTATGGAAACGCCGGACTCCTTCTCAGCTTGGGAGACCTTGCCAGGGGCTGTTCCCTCTGTACATCGCAGGCCGAGACGCAGGAACATCTCCTAGCCACGAAGAGGCGGTAGATCATAGGGAGGGTATACTGTAACACCTACTTAAATATTTGGACTGCCAGTCTTCAATGGTAGTGCGGTACCAGCCCAATTTCCTATCGTTTCAGTCTCGCGCTTTCGTCGTTCATTGTGGTCCTTGGCTTCGAAAACTGCAACGTCGGCGAGACAAATTCCTAATCTTAATAGCGTTTCCATATGCGTTCGCAGATAGTTGACTATAGCCACGAAGACGTTCGTCGATCGTTTAGGTTGTCTTCCAGGAGGGCGTTTGGATCCTCTTCTAGTACATTTCACACTTTTTTTTTGTCCGTCTATTCTTCTCGTTACGTGACTGAATCATCTGTGTTTGCTATCGATTGCATCTCAATGAACGGGTAGGTCTCGACAAACTGTAGTGCGCTTTGCGGTGACTGTCGCTTATATTTCTTGCGAAATCGTTCAAGTGCTCTGTGGGTGGTGTACTGATTTTTGGACGTGGTTGAAATATTATTTCACCTCTCTGAAGCATAAAAGAGCGTTAGGAAAACAGCTATAGCGAAAAGTGAACTCGGAGGTCTGGATCCATTATGCGATCGGTGGATTTTTCGAGATGCCCGGATATGGTCCATGCTTCTCTTCTTCATCTTTCTAAATCTCCCCTCATATGTTTTTTTGCATGTTTTTGAAACATCCAAGGTGCACGTTGGAGGTGGTGTCTGTGATAACAGAAATCATCCAATTCGATTTGTTCGATGTTCGCAACATCTGTTCCTCATGAACTTAGTCCTCATCCTATTTATGTGCAGTCTAATCCTTTCTCCCGCTTTATTGAGCTCATTTAACTAAGCCTCTGCTAACCTTGTACTCCTCGAAAAAAACTGTGATGTCATCCGTAAAACGAAGATTTGGTAGAAACTTTCTATCAATACCTATCCCCTTCTCGTCCCAATCAGGAGACTCCATTATCCACTGCAATGCGCCAATAAACACCTTTGCGGTATTGTGTCGCTTTGTAGAACTCCTTTTCCTGTGAGTGTGGTGAGGGTTCAAGAATAAAGCTGTATATTTTGCTGTAGTTCCTACAGCATTCTGCTACTGCTGGTGTATAGAGCGGATCCACTCATTGGTGGACGAGCGCTGACAGCATTCCATTCGTTTCGACGCTGTCAAACGCTTTCTCGTAGTCGATAGTGGTCAGGACAAAAGCAGGTGCTTCCCGATGGACTTCTGCGATACACGACACGGTTTGTTGTGGTCCATACAGCAGAATCTCTACCGAAATCTTGCTTGATCAACTGGTTCTGCCTCATCAAAGGTGTTAGGTGTGCAAAAAATTATAGTGTTCATGAACAGCCTGTGTATTACACTCAACAGGCATGTTGAACGACAGTTAAGTAGATCTTTTCGGTCACCCTTCTTAGATAGGGTGAGTATATAACACGTCCTATACTAGTCTAAGGCTTTCTTCTTCTTGAGGAAAGATGCAAATGGGTTGCGAGAATTACCCGCAATTTGCAGTAATTAGCCCGGTAGAAGCCGGGGATGATGTTGTGGGGTCCTGCAGGTATTACTCCTTTCATGCTTTCTATCTTGAATGGGACTTCATGTGAAAAAAGTCCAGGGCGGTTTTTTTCAGTGATAATTCGGGAATCCAAAATGAAGATTGCGCACCGAAAAATTTGGAATAGAACTTTGGCGTGATTATTTCCATATCATGGCGAGATGTGGTGATACTCCCATATTCGTTCTTAAACGCTGACAGCAGGTCGTAGTTGCACGGATCTTGGCTGTTTTTCAGACTAGGTGGTTTTTGAGCTTTATCCTATTAACTTTTCTTTTTCAGACGACGTAAACCATCATGCAAACAACGTCTACAGCTGGCATTTACTGTCAGCCGTGTTGTATATTTTGCAGAAGGATCAAGTTCCAGTTACCTTAACTTTTTGAACACAAAAACCAGGTGCCACGAAGGTGTCAAAGAAACGGAATTTTTTATTCGTGGAAATATGGTTCTTCTCCTTTCATTTTGAATTTTCTGATGTCGAGTTCATTTTCGTTGACCACTCGTACTCCGGTATTGAAATCTCTAGCATTGATGTTTTAACGTTTTGTTTTCTGCCTTCTATAATTTTCATGGCAGGTTACTAAGCGAAATACAACCACAATGTTGCTGAGATATTTGCAAAACTCTGGACCGCAGGTGTCTATGGTGGGGAACGAACGCGCTATTATCCTTTCCGGGGAGTAACGCGTTCACCACCACACCATGCGGGTCCTTTGTTTCGCACGTCTCTCAGCTATTTCTATCGATCTTTTTGCCACAGCAAACACCCGTCAGCGGGGTTGATCTGGGGAGCGCAAATCGGCATAGAACCCAGTTAAGCTAACTTTTTTCCCCTTCCAACTTCGTAAGAGGAACGCTAGGGTGATAGGTAGTGATACTGTTTTTTTTGCTAATTGGAAAATTTAATTTGACGGAGTTCGGAGGTCAGACAACCTGGATCTCTCTTGAGATCGTGGCCAACACAGTCACTCGCCCACTGTTGTGAATTAGAAAATATTTTGCTATCATGTGACTAGTTTGATACCAGGACGGCGTTCATTCCTGGTATTTATTTACTATCAGCTAGAGTTACAGGTGCGTCCTAACTCTCCTCCTCAGCTCGAGAGACCATGTAGGGCGATAAATTATTCGCTATACAATCCGACCTCCATGAACACCCCTAGCCAAAATGAGGTGGTAAACCATTGAGAGCTTCGTAATACTATAAAGAGATAGTGGAATTTTATGGAAAACTTATTCGCACACCTTTTATAAGGGTTATGGGCGACTAGCCCCATTTTCATTGTTTTCCTTGTAGGCGTCTTTGTGGTTGTTTTGCTTGCATTCTTCTCATGGTTGCAAACTTCCACTTTCTAAAGCACGATAAGTCTAGTGTGCCTCAATCGCCTCGCCAAAACAGTTTCAAAATTCAATCGTCAACTATGAACAATCATGTGCCTTCATGTTCATCTGTGGATTGACACAAGGACCATAGGCCCATGCCAACAGAGGACAACAATTCTCTGCCTTAAGCGACAAATTTCTGATTGCTAAAACACATTTTTCGCTTTTTTTTAAGTCCGAGGTCGCATGATGAGATGGCAAAACAGGAGGAATTTTCTACATTAAGACTCGTTGGTATTATTCCATGTGTCACTGATCAGCTACCGCTTACATTCTCACTTCTTTGAGGATTTGAGTTCGAACGGAATTTAGAAATGAACTATTTCTACCATTATGGAGAAAAAGTAAAATATTCTCTACGAGTACTTCACCTTGCAGTTATAGTAGTTGTGGAAAAATACACTATACCCGACGAAGCCTATACGTAGTCACCACTGCATTAGTCGAGGAAACTGGGATTTTAAACCCAGGAAAGAAACTCACCTCTGATTCTGATTCGTCGGATGTGTCATTAGAATCGGTGCTGACATCACTTTCACTCGAGCTCTCATCACTGGACAGCAGTTCAACACCGAGATTTCTGGCTTCTTGGGTAGCGATAGCCTCTAGGGCTACAGAGGCATCATACTTAAAGTTCAGCCAGTCAAGGCCGAATTGGCGTATTCTTCTAGGAAAGAAGGGTGCTACTGTGGCTGGCAACTGAAAATAAGTCCATGAGTGTTGAATTTAAATACGAATGTTGCACTTGATCTTCAAGAGAAGCGTGTCGAAGTAGTTAGTTGACGACTGTATTGTTACCTCCACAGAAGGTATATAAAAGCCCTGACATGTTCGAGTACCAATTAGTGGTATATATGGTTTCAAATAGTAGGGAACAAGGCATTCGACGTTAACTCTACCTAAAATCCACTTCAATAAATCTGTAATAAAAGTATTAACATTGTTGGATGCTAAAACAGTTGATCCTCATTATTCACAATATTCAATGATCCTTGACCGCTGCAATTTTGCAACTCTTATACTTGAGATTCAGCAAAATCTGCATTAAATTCTACAAAGTGCTAATACCGAAATCTTACACTCTGAAACCGCGTCGATGAAAGCCGGAACTGTTTGCTGAAGAAATGGAAAGAAGTTCGGATTTGCGCTCGTACGAACAACACACTTAACCAGTTGAGCAAATTGGTGAACTTGTATCTCAGTATTCACCAGAAGCTAAAAATCATTACAATGAGCCTTCATTACATGCTGTTTCAGATAATCTAGACGGTGGAGAATTTTACTCTTGGACAGATCCATATTCCTTACGGCTAAAGTTTGACGTCCTAAAGAATTTAGACTTAGAAAAAATTTAGACTAAAATCTCATTACTAGATGAATAAACATTTTCTTATTCTAGACAGACCGCAGTGCAGTATTCAAGTGAAAATTGGATATTAGCAGAAGTTCTAGCTATACCCTTAGTGTGGCGGGTCGAGTGGAGAACTTCGATATTAACAAATGAATTATTTTGAGTAAACTCATTCAAAATGAGGCCTTGAAGATGTAGCTCAAAGTATGCGAATGATTGTGTTCGCATCACTTACCAGTAAGAAAAAATTTGCCAAAAAAATAGTAATGGAATTATACGGGAAAATCAATAAGGAGAAGGGGATAGACAAAAATCGAGTACATTACTCTACATAAATGCCAAAGATTGTTCAACACTAGTGAAGCACTATATTTCAGCAGCAATCGTCACATTATCTGAGCAGAGATTCTGGTGGACCACAAACTAAACAAGTAAAAGTTGTCATTATGGGAAACAAGCAGAGTGAACGCAACGAAATGACGACCAGCGATTTCTTATCTCTGGAAGAAATAAACACTAACGAAAATTTGATCCGAAGCATGATTAAAACCCAGTGGAAGAGTGAGAAATCGGAAATCGGATTTTCATATAGAATCTAGCTTGGCTTATAGTCAATCTCAATTCTCAACCTCATTATAGCTTTGGCATTTCGGTAGCATAATGGGTTAGCCAGAACAGGAAATTCGATCTGCACAAATTTGATTTTGGAAGAACACTTGCTGTAAAAGAGAATGAGTAGGAAGTATTGGACCAGCTATAGCGGAGACTGCTTTTACACGTAGTGAAGACGCCCAGTGTACAGTATTGCAGCATGTGAAACAGCTCTCCAATCAACTTAACGATTCGGGTATCCACAGTGAATGTTGACACTCATAAAAAGGTAGTGCACGGATCCTCCAACGCCAATCCCATCGTGGTTGAAAACTATTTTCTTATTATCGAACTGGGAGCTACAACATGGTTCACCACCTTTCTGTGTTTCCCAAAGGGAGAAGAACTTCAGCATTTCCAACCAGTGATGATTTAAGAGTAAAGTACTGGGTGGAATCGCTGGGATCTTGGTAGCAAAACTGCCTAGTTGGAAACTGGATTGTGATAATGACGTAGGAAAAGCCCAACATAGCCTTGGAGAAACCAGAAGGTGGTCAAGTGGAATTTTGCTAAAGCCCATACAAATAATGCGTGGTTTCTAAAGACGTACCACCGAAGTACTCAGGAAATTAAGAAAAAATATTGATGTTCGTATTATGGGAAAAGAAAACAGACTACAGCCGAGAAGGAATTTTTTTGAACAAGCCCACAAAGGACGAAACTGACTCAAGAACGACTACCAACGAGATATTCATCAGTAGTATCAACTGATGCTACATATACATATAACTGCCCACAACGCAGTGGAACAGCCTATTTCCACCACTGACGACGACGACTGACACGTAAGTTCACGTATAATGTGCCCGTTACGGATTAGATGTGAACTTAGTCTCTATCAGCAGTTCTGCCTCTGTAATTGCTTTCGCTGCATGTGTTTAAAGCATACTTCTCCGATAACAATATTCATGTCTAGACTCTTTTTGACCGAAAAAAAATCATACGTGTATCAGCATTTTAATCCTTTCGCTCATGCTTCTGTTGACCGGTGTATTGCTTTTCTTATCAATGGCATCAGTCCTCCGGAGAAAACCTTTGAAGAAGTACATAAGGACTTCTGCACGCTGCAGTGCTGACATTCTTTGCAGTTGTGCCAGTACTTCGCTCAGTAATTTGAATAGATCGTCAGAAGCACGCGATCGCTTATTTGGGTACATATCAGACGCTGAAACAATAGAACGTTACGCATAAAGTCGAAATTGTCGAAAACTGTGGGAATGAAATTCACCTAATAACACAGGCGACAAAATTGACATGCCAAGTTCCTCTTCGAGAAGGGCTTGAAGTTCAGCCTGACGCATCCTCACATCATTTGGAAAATAAAATTCGGCCATCGCTAAAAAAGTTAAGTATTTAGTGGTACAATAAGCACAGTGATCACGTCAGGAAAGCAATGATAACTCAGTTAACCTAAAGAAGGTAAAAAAAGAAAGCGAATTGGTGAGAGAATTCATGTGAACCTAGAGAATGAATGGAGCTGTAGACACTGGCAACCGCTGTCTTGCAACGAGTGTTGCTGAAATGAAATGAGAAGGTAGGAGGAAGTGATTCAAAATATCGTCATGTTATATTATCACACTGTATCAAAATCAACATGTTATATCTGTGTTCTTTTAATTTCGCTTCAAGACCCAAATCACGCACCACCTCTCCATTTTCTCTCTCTGATCTACATAGTGAGTGATCTAAGCATTTCATCATATTCTGCATGAGTTGTTTACGAAAGAAATGTTATCACATTGAAAAACTGTGGAATACATTGTAAGTACCATTATCGATCGACATTCATTTCTTATTTCACATGACCCGTATTCACATTTTACTATGCGGATTCCAACATTTCTTGCATTTTCCGTCGCATTTACCTTCAGTGAAGTCCTTCGAACATTTCGCGTGTTGATTCTGCTGTTGCTTGAGGATTTCGGCTTCTTATGAATGTCATAGAATACTTGTAGCGTATGTTCTCCTTGCAATCTTGGAGGTAGCTTTGCTAAGGTGTTCCCACGTGGATTGCGAGAGATTGCCGAGAAGGAATTGCCCCACTGGCCAAAATAATAGTTCCTATTTACCTTTTTCTCATTTACTGTGAAGCCTCACTTAAAAAGGGTAGTACCTTCTTTCGGCTACTTTCACTGAAGATGCTGCAAGATTTACGGGCAAACTATAACAATCAGATTCACATGTTTATCAAGGATTACTTCAATTTCTGCAAAGGTATGAATGGTTGTAACTGCGTTAAAGCTTTTTTTTAAAGGATTGATTTTGTCATCTATAGAAGAATCGTCAACAAATCCTGGTTCTCATTTGCGGTCCCATAATATTTGCGATGCGTATCTGCGATTGGTGGAAAGTGTTTTTTCTTCTACTGTGCAAACGATTTCAATTCTATGAAATTCTTGCCGTGATCGAAGAAAACGGCAGTAGTTGTTGATTTGCAGCTGAAGCTCACTGTTAGATTATTGTGAGATTGCGCAACTTTACAAAAATGTCCTAATCTGTAGATAGAGAACTGTCTACTTGATAGAGGAATTCTCACTCGACTGGAAGCCATTCAACAGGGTCACAAGACTGTTTCATTATTTTGAATTTAAGTAAAAGAGACATTTGCCAGTAGCTTTATGATAGTTAACCAGACTGGTATAGATTTCCTGTTACAGACGTCTATTACACTTCGTTATTGCACTAGTTAAAGACGCCCACTGGCTTCAGGGTATAACATTATATTGTGGAGGCAGCGGCAAGGGTACCGCCGTGGTAGTGACGGTGTCAAACACGAGCCCGCTTATGGTTCCCCATTCGTAAAGATCTCGATGGCATTTCTTTGTATTACATTGCTTTTGGCTGCTTCCAATAAGCTTTTGCGCCAATATCGAAGTAAATCCTTCTACATAGACGCTCTACAGCTGCCGTTTCTGACGAGTCGCATGAGGCGTGCTTCAGTAGGATCAAGCATCGGCCTCGTTCTTTCTTCGAGCAACCCCTTAGTGGTAGCAGAGGTGCGCCTTGACCCTTTCGTTTGGGATCTGAGGCATGTTTGGGGCAAGCCTAAAGTTCTTCAACAAGCAGCTTGCAATGCTCGATTGGAGCTGGCTTCATCTTCCTGTATTATAAAGACTGGAATCTATTGAGAATAACGTTATCATCGCTATCCACCATCTCATAGAGGGATTTCATGACGGTTAGCCGACAGGCAACGTGGCACGTCCGCAGGTGCTTGATGAGGGGTTAGACGGGGCACAAAGACGGCCTTTGCTTTTCTGACACGCAGATAGACTAATAGTATGGAATCCCTGATTCAGCTGTGCTGATTTGGCAAATACTTTTTGTATCTACAAGGATGTATTTATGCATGTATGTGTGGGTGTGTTCTCGCCCGTGCGGGCGGATTGTATTTTGCGACTTATATCGACCAAAAACCTGTATTCATGTTACGGCGAAGTATGCAGGAGGCAGCTTGGAGTCGCCACCAACAAATAAGCTCTACATCTACTCTGAGAGAGATTGGCAAATTACCCGTGGGTATACCCAGCCCTACGTTCAGAGCTCTGAAAACTGCACGTGGGAGTATTGAAAAGCTAATCACAGTAAAATAAACGGGCCTAATTTCGCTGTCCCCGAATTGGTCCTCGATTCGACACCGTTGAGTAGCACGAGTACGAAGAGGCTAATGAGATTTCAGGGTAATTCTGAGCTGCCTAAAGCTAGAAGGACTAAAGTGATGGTTTGCACTTCCAACATACGCATACCTGTATCTGAGTCCTCGATAAGAGACCTGACCGTGGAGGGAGGAGAGAAGGATAAGTTGCAACATCATCGAACTGGCCGAGACGTGAAGTAGCCATTCATTCAGCGCAGTTTATGACACCGGAGAACAACACTTTCTCGGAGCATGCGAAGGTAGAGGAATGAGTTATATGGGCGTTCATGTCAACACTAATTTTACTGTCAACGTCTATTCATTCAAATAACTCGCAACACGACTTGAACATTTACGGTTGAAGAGTTGTGCGTTAGTACCAGTGGCTTCGACAACCTTGGTCAACCAACATCTACCTACGAACATAAAACCACAATATTTGGAGTTTATCCAGTTTATTAGCTGACCATAGAGAAGGTGTTTGAAAACATCGACGAGGAATGCAATCTGCTCATTTAATGTCTTTACGTAGGCGCTATAAAAGTGGAGAGTCAGGAATTCGAGGAGAGACTTCTGTCTCCAGAAACACTCCAGATGAAACGTCAGCGTGGAATCGCATGTGATATAGGCAGCCGCCAACTAACGTCCGAGTTTGCAAAACAATACAGACAGGTGATAAAATAAGATCTCATGGAAACAAGAGCAGCAGTTATGGTCTAAGTTGTAGAGGCTAGGAAAAGCACTAGCAAAGCCCACCCAAGCTTTTCCAATCACAGAATGAAGATGTCTGCACTCCGAAGTGCAAACGAAATAGTTGCAGCATCCAGAAAGGCAAGGGAAAAAAATCATTCACGATTACTACTCGGATCTGTTGAGTACCTGCGTCTTCCTGCCCTTATACGAAATAAAGATGTTGAATATATTGGTAGACCGGTTCCCACCTTCAAAATCCGACATGCTATTTCATCAGTAAAGAATTGTGCAACACTTGACGATGACAACTGACAGGATAAGAACACAACATCTCAAGGATCTTTCGCCAGTCCCCATCAATACACTGGTCCGGCTGTTTCCACCTCACCTATCTAAAACCAAGGTTACTCCTCAGTAAAAGACTATAAAGACCATGTTTAAGCTTAAGAAAGATGACCTCCACTCTATCCACAACTATCGACGAGTATCTTACTTTTCTAGTGTATATGAACTCTTCAACTGAGCCATTGTGAACAGGACTGATGGAACACTGAAAGAAGAACAGTCATGTGAACAAGCAGGTATCGAGGACCGCATCCAGGCATGACATGACTTACTGAAATAGCGTAAGGAGTACAAGAGATCACTTCCCTTTCATCGATATGAGGAACGCGTTTGACTCAAGAATGGTGACCTCCACTATATTGGCAACTAACGCCCAATCTGTTCGCTGTCTGTTGTCTAAGCTTTTCATTGGAGTCATCTTAAGCAGGATTAACAGAATATTGGAGAAAGAGCAGCCATGTGAGCTGGCAGGGTTTCGAAAAGCATTCAGTACGTTGAGCCAAATAAGCAAGGCAACGAGGTTCATCAAAGTATCGCGGGTGTACAAGGAACCGCTGTCTCACCTTCGTCGATTTAAAAAAAAGGCTTTTGACTCAGTTGATATGGAAACAGTCTTGGAAGTCCTAGACACCCAGGGCGTTCCTAATCAGTACATAGAGGTTTTTGTAAGCTGCATGAGAAATTCACAAATACGATAATATCACCATTCTACAACGACTATAATATGGACATCACAAGAGGGGTTAGGCAAGGGGATACCATCACGGCAAAATCGTTTCGCCATCTTTGAGGACGTTATGCAAGCACTGAAATAGGGCGAAATGGGAGTTAAAATAGAAGGTTGGCAATTACACTATCTTCGCTTTTTTGATGACATCTTTCTTATGACATTTTAGTTGTTTAGAATAAAAAATTAACAGGATATGAAAGGAAATGTTTCAGGATTCAGCGGGACTGATCTGGAGAGCCCAAATCGGAAATGTACCCAGTTAAACTAAGGCTTCAGTTATAATCACAATTTTATCTCTTCTCCACCTTTTTATTTACTGCCCTATTCCTTTTTTTAATGGCAAGGCATGCTGCAAAATATAACTTATATAATGCTGAGATATTTGCAAAACTTCGGGCCGTGGGTGTCTGCGGTGGGGAACGAACGCACTATTGTCCTTTCCGGGTAGTAACGCTTTCACCCCTACACTATGCGGATCCACTGTTTTCCCTGTCTCTCAGATAGTTCTATCAATCACTTGCCATCAGCAACCACCCAGAGTAGGGAGTAAATAGAACGGATAAGTTACATATATTACAGTTCAACAATAATTTACGCCGGAATTTTTTTTTTGTGGGAAAGTTGGAGCAATTTCATTGGTCGTCGTGGTACGTGTATTAATGAATGGTTAACTTTGTCCTCTTTTTAACTTTCGTGGAATTATATGAAGTTTGGCTTGCATATGATGTTAAATTTGAGTTTTTAAAACAATTACTTTCCACTCTGTATTGTTCAAAAATGTTTTTTATCCTGCATATCCTGACGTCCCGTTGATAGTCGAGTGCCTTGAGCGGGCGCCATTAAATCGTTCATTTTTCCCTGTCGCGTGCAAGAGTAGCCCAGTGGGTTCTGCTCGCTCTAGGGATTCGTCGAACATCATATCTTTTTTT